TGATAGAGCAATAAATCCTTAAGTAGGTAGCATTTGATTAGGTCATGCATGCACTAAGAGACTAACGATTATAATGTTGGTCTTTATAAGCTCAGCCTTCGAATGTTTACCGTTGCCAGGTTTCTAGTTTGGGTCGTTCGTGGAGCACCATTATAGTAGGACTTCTCAGCATCTCCGACAGAGTACTGTATTGTAGCTTAGTGAGCATTTGTATTCATAGAACCTTACTTATGTATTTGAGTTGTACACTTCAAGATGTATTATTTGTTTTACATTATGTGTCACAAAACTTCGATTTTTGAAAATTATTTTATATTTGTTATTTATGTTTTAATTATGATACCATTCAGTATGTTTGAAAAGAAAATGAACAGATTTTGAAACTCAGGGGTAGCCTAAAGCCCAATGTGACACATTAGGCCCAATCGGGCTTATAGTGTTACAAGATGGATGAACAAGGTGAAGTTCCTCCTTTAAAGAATCGTGTAAGCCTTAGTGATGTGAACTCAAGGGCTGTATTTGAGAAAAAAGCTCGCCAGGCCCTCAGGGTTTTTGAAGCTAACAAGGATGGTTTGAGTCACATTGAGTGTTAGAGAACTATAAGAGAACTTAAAGCTGCCAAGGATACTTGGGGTGATGGAGTGGGCTTCGCTGCATCAAAGCAATTACAGGTTGCCCTAACAGCCATAGAGGGATTTCACAGTTCCCTGGTGTTCACCAGTCTCTTTAATCTCCATTTCATGCTCCAAACTGCTCGGACGTCTCCAATCGGTACAGTGCCTTAATGAATAGACAGTGCTTATCTTGAACCAAATGTAAATGTGAGTCGATTACATGTACACATTACTTACCTGTCATCAACTTACAAATTTTCATTATATATTGTTATGTAAAACAAAACGAATTTTTTCACAGCAATAGTGTGTATTTACAGAAGCGTAAAGTTCTTCCGAACAGACTATGTACAACCAGATTGCAGTGAGTTAACACTATCATGATCATGCCAACAGAGGGGATAAGGGAATTGCTATTCACAAACAGGTTTTGTGTCAAAGCTGCTTAAGCTGATCGCAAATGCTTGTAAAGCTGAGAGTGGGTAACGATAACCCATGGTGAAAATGTCCTTACCGATCTGCCAAACTGCAGAATCACCTTCTCTTGTTCTGATACGGTAACATTCTGGCTTGGATCCACAGTGGCCACCAACTGGAAATTCTTTACAGAAGCCACCGTGACCCGTCCTTTAAAATTTAGGCACCAACACTGCAACTGGCCATACCATCTAGGAGCTTTATTTCTCAATACCAAGCACACATTTTGAACCGATTTCAGAGTTTCGAATGCTCTTATTCGCACTGAATCTAACAAGGGAGAACAATCCTCGTCATGGCATTTCGTGAACGCCATTGGAGTAGGAGCACTTCCTCCTTGTTCGATCGCAGAGAACGGGAATCGAGTACATAGCACACTTATTCTCCTCGGACCTCTCGTCCGAATTGAGCTCATACGATATTTTGCGGTGGTACTCGTAGGTTTCCTCGGACAAACCTGCCTCAAATGAATTATCCGACGTGATCGACAACCAAACGGGGTGAAGAGTCATTTGCATGTTGACTGTCGAAAATGTGAATTTGTTTCCCATGAAATTAGACTGTCAAAGCTTTACTCCTTAAATGAACGAAAACCAAACCCTGAGGTAAAAGATAACGATTCCATACATCTAAAAGCTTGCCTGAGAATTGCAATATAATTGATGCTTGATCTAGAGAAATCATTGCAACTAAAGATATCACAAAATCAGTACAGGTGGCCTTCTGACCTTTTAGCAACCAGTAACAGTTATTAAAATTACCTGACAAAGCTGTAAATTTGTAAATACACTAATAAATATCAGCTATACGAATAAAAGGAACACCATAAGGTAAGGGAAAATAGTTACGAGGACTGATACCCATATACAATCGATATGATGAAGTTCCTTCCCTCTTAATAAGCACTCGATCGGTATCTCTTGGTCCAGGCTATACCAAAATAATAACAAAATAAAACGCCATTTTTTTATTAAAAAAAAAAGAGAAACAAAAGCAAAAATTAAAAGTTTACCTGCTTTAGAGAGATGGGGAACGTTAAGACGCCACATTGTTCTGGTGTTTAGACAATATCTTGAGTAATTTTTCTCCATGATCTACAAAACAGAAGCACAGGCAATCACATCTCGCCTTCTAGGCCAACATGTTTCCGTGCTTCCACTCTTGATTATATCTATAAGCAATTCGGTGGTAATTTGCCCATCGTCCTTGCACTTAATGTAATTGAAGAACAGCTGATGATGATAATAGTGAAGAAGAAGAAGAATCTGGAGAAATATAAGCTTGTCCCCTCCTAGTTATGTTTTTCTCTCTCATGAAATTTCCTTTGGCATATTCTTATCTCCCGCACAAAGCTTTTCAAAGGCATTTCTTGATTTTGACTAAACGCGACTAAAAGAAGGATAAAAGCATAATCAGGAAAAATGCTAAAAAAAGGACGTGAAATTTTAAAGAGCCGGTTTCGTTTTTGGTTTTTTTCAAATTTAACTGAAATATGGGGATTTTGCCGCTGTCGTTGAATCCGAAATAAATGGCAAACCTTTGCAACACATAGGGGGAAAATCTTCAAACTTAGAACTTCTAAAATAAGACTTTTGAAAAAAAATATTATAAATTTCAGAACGGAGGGACAGATTCGTCGGAAAACAGGAAACGGGAGGCAAACGAGGAGCGAGGAGCTTACACAATCTCCAATCGAACCTAGAAATTAGAGAGCTTTTTATATAAACATGAACACCGGCTGTTTATTGTTTTATTTCGATTTCTCTCTCCGCCCATCTCCGTCGCTGCCAGCGCCTCAAACTTCTCAGCATTATTGACTACCGCACCGGCTCTTCCTCTTTTCTTTTTCCACACACTATGATACTGACGAAATTTTCAATTGGCGGGTTTTGTGTTGCGAGTTGGAAACCGCAACATAGACGCGTGGCAGACAATAAAGACATTCGCCCTCTTAATTTCATAATAGCATATTAATGATCAATGGTATAGGATTGTGCAGATTTAATATATTTAATTAGAATTATGATTATTTTTTTCATTTTTAAAATATTACTTTATTTCAATTGAAAATTTAAACCTGTATACAACTATTTGTTTGATAAAGTAACGCATAATTTGACAATAAATGTTAATTTCTAAATATATTTATTTGTAATACACTATCAAAAGTTACAATTATTCATAATATTTCAAGAGTATTTTCAAATGACGAACCCGTAACTTGGGCTTAATCTCTGCTGCAAAGTTCAACAAATCTTTTCATAATTAAGTCATGGCCCCTGAAAATAGTAGGCCGTAATTTTTATTTTTTTATTTAATTTATACATATTTTTTATTTATATTTAAAAGTTATCATTTTTTTAATAATAACATCCTTATTATTCAAATTTAAAACTCTCTTTAAAAATACAATCTAACTTATCGTTATACGCACAATTAATCAATTATGATTTATATATTCATTCAAACATGTAATTATTTAAAGGTATGAGATGTTGTGTACAGTATCTTTGGTTCATGCACTGTATGACATTGCAATTTGGTTGGAAAATGATGTGTTGCAGGTGGAAGATTGCCAAATCTGGTTCATGTATCCACTTGAATTTTATTGCACATTAGGTATGATAAGCATCCTAGAGCTGTGCCAAATTTCAGTCTCTATGTATCCAAACCCCTTGATTATTTACATGAATAAACAGTTTACGCTGTTTAGTAGCACATGTTCTCTTTGTAAAAGGACGAACAAAGTTGATCACGATAAATGTTGTAAATTGGATTGGGAGGGTCGTCCTTGCCTTTACAGTATACAATCCAGATTAATCGATCAATAGACCAGATATAGGTGCTTATAAAAAACAACAAAGAATGATAAACAAAGTTTTTAAAAATATTTATCAATTTTAAATTTTATTTTAATTGATTCATATAATTATACTCCATTTATAATCATTAGATCATGTTGTGCGTTATTTTTTAAAAGTAATTTTATAGTTAAAAATATTTTTAAGATCAAAAGCAATACATAATAGGTAGCTATGCATTTTTTTTATCGTTAATGCAAAATATTTTTGAGATTGGGCTTGAGAAAAATGTTCTTATTTTACATGGGATCGTTGAATTTCATTGACCTAAGCTGCTTGACCAAAATTTTCATTAATATTTTTTTAATAAAAAAAAACTCATTAGCTGCTGCATACAAATCAATGGAGCTACACAAACTGATTAAGCTCAGAAGACTCCTCTTGAGCCCATTAATCACATTTATAGTCCCAATTGGATCTCAAAAATTGGCCTGCAATAAGCCTGCAAAAAAGACGACGGACAGTCGGACAGCCACCAACTTAGGGGTAAAGGAATCGGCGGAGAAATGGTCAACTCACCCATTCAAACAAAGATTGCATATGCACCACTTATCTTAAATTGACACAATTAACAAAAAAAAAAATGAACCAGAAAGTTTCACATTAAGTGTAGGTTTCAAGCCATACCAAGACTTATTATAAGCTTACTCCCAATCGTTATCCATATTAACATTCATGACGTTAATCTCAAGCAGACGAAACTATCAATTCCTGTTAGCTGGAGCTTTAAAAAACAAATGATAGTTTAAGTTGCCTACTACAACCCCCAGCTAGAAGAAAATCAAATGGCGGCCATGGTCTATCAAGCTCTGCCAGAATTTCTACTCGCCGGCTACTTGTATTAGCGGCTACAGTTGATCTTTTCTAACATAATGCATACACGGTTGCTTGAAGCTCGATTTACATGACACTTCCATGGCAAGAAAACGATCCCTGATATGTATAAAAGAACAGTATCCACCATCGTCTATACATAAAAGCCATTGATCTTAGCATATATATAGTTCATATCTTCATTTACTGCACGTAATTCTTGATCTTACCAACAATGGCTCCAGCTTATTCTAACTACGCTTGCATTTTTATCTCAACATTATTCATGTTCATGTTGGCAAGTTCTCGAGCAGATGCTGCTGCTGCAACTTCCACCGCCATACTTATAAATGTCGACCAATCCGGGAATGGAGACTACAAGAAGATACAAGACGCCATTGACGCAGTTCCATCCAACAACAACGAGCTTGTTTTCATATTGGTTAAACCTGGCGTCTACAATGAAAAGATTGTTGTGCCTGTGGACAAGCCTTTCATTACTATAAGTGGTTCAAAGCCAAATGAGGTGATAATAACTTGGAATGATAGTGGCAACATATTTGAATCTCCTACCGTCACTGTGTTGGCTTCAGATTTTGTTGCCCGTTACCTCACAATTCAGGTATATATATATAACGAAGAGATGATATGGTTTTTAATAGTCGAGCTTAAAGTATTCATATCGATTGACCTTTTTGCGTTACTCTTTTTTATAAACAGAATACATTTGGTCCCGGAGCTAAAGCAGTTGCGTTAAGAGTATCAGGAGATAGGGCATCTTTCTTCGGATGCAGAATGTTATCTTATCAGGATACGTTGCTCGATGACACTGGAAGACATTATTATAAAAACTGTTACATTGAAGGAGCCGTTGACTTCATTTTTGGAAACGCCGCTTCCCTTTATGAGGTAATAAGTTGTAGGAATATAGAATCCTTTTATCGTATATATTGTTAATCTAAGTAGCTAAATCATCAGCTTACACATGGATTTCTTTTTTCCAGAAGTGCCATTTGCATTCACTCTCAGAAGGTGATGCAGCTATAACAGCCCAACGAAGAGAGTCTCCTTCGGAGAACACAGGCTTCACTTTCTTGGGTTGCAAGATAACTGGCGTAAGGACGGCTGTACTAGGAAGGCCGTGGGGTGCATATTCCAGGGTGGTCTTTGCCTTTACCTATATGTCTAATGTGATATTACCCCAAGGGTGGGATGACTGGGGAGACTTGTCCAAGCAAAGGTAACAAGAAAGACCAACCTATTCTCTTCTTACATTATTACTGTCAAGTAAAGAAACTGAGCAATGGTTTTCTGGTTTCTTTGATTTACAGCACCGTGTTCTACAGGGAATATAAATGCTACGGACCTGGTGCCAATGCAAGAAAAGGGTTGAATGGTCGGGAAAGCTGACGGATAGTGAGGCAGGATTTTCTTGACAAAGAACATGATTGGTGGTAAGAGTTGGATCAGGTCTACGTCAACTCGTTTCAAGAAAGCTTCGACTGTCATCTCCAACAATTCGACTACACATGCTTGATGATCGTTAATTAAAATGTTTGATGTTGTAAGCGCTAGTGTTCCACTACCTTAGAATGATTTCTTTTGTAACCATATTGGATTTATTCGTCGATTTATTTGCAGTTGCTTCAAAATAAAAGTCTGAAATTCCCCTGCATCATTTGTGATGATGGAAATGTTATTCTAATCACCAAAGCTTTAAACATCTGCATGGAAATTATGTTTTTCTTAAGGCTGTTCTTTTATAATCAGCTGCAAAATCCATTACTGAAAAAGGTTAAGAGAGTGCTGCTGAATCCATAATGCAGTAGGCCTTTTTTTCTCCTACCCGAGGGGAACAAATATTTGGGCCATTGGCCAATTTTCCGTGCTTTGTCTAAAACGGTTTCAAGCTTGCAACGTGAGCATCATTAAAAAATCATGGCAATCTTTTGCTTAATAAACACAATTTTCCCATCTACTTCAATAGATTTCTTATTTATAGAAGTGGATACTTTCACTTAATCAATACGTATAGAAGTGGACTGCTCAACTTTTTCTTAGCTCCCAAACTAAGAAGAAATTCAACATGACAGACCAACTAATTTGCCTTTAACGAAATAATTTGAGGTGCTTAATAGTTTCGAACCAATTTGATTCCTACCACAAGGATATCCTTGACACTTCCGTCCATAAG